TGGCCATAATGCTGAGGAAGAACTATTATGCTTTGTATCTAGATGTCCCAGCTGGGCGTAGTGGTGCACACCTGTAATCCCAGCACTCAGGAGGCTGAGGCAAGAGGATCAGTGAGAGTTGAAGACCAGCTTGGGGTACAAAGTGAAGTTCAAGGCCAGCCTGAACTGCATAGCGAAACCCTGTCTCAAAAAGACCAAAAAGGGCTGGGGATGTAGCTCAGCTGCACAAGCGCCTGCCTGGCGAGCGCAAGGTTGTGAGTTTGATTCCTGGTACAAAAAAAAAAAAAAAAAAGACAGTGTTTTAAAAAGGTGAAGTCCTTTAATCCTTGGTACTACAAAGAGAAAAAAATGCAAATACTGACTCTAATATTTTGTTTTCTTTTAGCCCTGTTGCTAAGAGGTGTCTAAGATCTCCTAGAAGAAGAGTAAAGGCAGAGTTCAAACCTCAGTAATCCACCTGTTCATGGCAGCTAGCTTGGTGCTAGCTAGGTGTGGACCCACAGCCAGCAAGCTGTGTGTGGCCTCTCAGAGGGCTGGAGAGTCCCTGGGCCCCTTTGGGTTCCCTGTGCTTCCTGGTGGCCTCGGGCAGGCTCCTGCCTTGTTGCTATTTTCCTCCCAATCCCAGGATTAGTCTTCTCTTTGCAGTTTCTTCTTTTCAGTGGATTTTCTCTTCCCTGGGCCTTTGAGCAGCAGGGAGCAGAGGTAAAAGACCTGGCCTCTCCATCCTTTCTCCGGACATAGTAATCCTCCTGGCATCCCCCCTCCAAGTACCTATATAGCACATTTGAAAGCCCGGAACACTTTCCACCTGTGGGCGTTAATAAGCCCCTGGTGGAACTCAACTTCACCAGATCTTTTTGCTGCTTGCTTCTCTTTTGGGAACTCAGAGCTTCCTGACTGCCTCACCCTCCATAAGGAAGCCCCTGTCTTCATTTTCCATATTTTCCTCTGCAAATTTCAGAATGAACATTTTTTGCCCCTCTTTTTTGTTTGTTTGTTTGTTTTTTTTTGGTTTTTCTCCGGTACCGGGAACCGAACTCACGACCCTGCGCTTGCCAGGCAGGCGCTTTTGCCGCAGAGCTAAATCCCCAGCCCCCTGCCCCTCTTTTAATTGTGTAGGTTTAATTAATTAATTTTGTGGTGAAAATGGTGGTGGGAGCTTCCATTTAAAAGATGAAATACTTTCTGCAGTGCTGGGAATTGAACCCAGGGCCTCAGTGCATGGTAGATAAGCCCTGAGCTATAGCCCCTATCCTTTTTGAGGTAAGCTCTCACTAAGTTGTGCAGGCTCCTCTGAACTTGCGGTCCTCCTATGCAGCCTTCTGAGTAGCTGGGGTTACAAATGTGTGCCACCACACTCTCGTGAAATATGGTTTTGAATACTGTAATAAAAGAATGTTTACTCTGGAACCTGCTCCACACTTGGAGTAAATCCAGCCACTGATCCTCTTTACCGCTAAAGTATACAGCTCCTATTTCTCTCCTCCTCTCTTGCCCCACCCTCTGTCATCTCCATATCATCACCTGCCAGTTTTGATGGCCAGCCACCAAATAATACTGTCAAAAGACAAAGACTGCAACAATTTAAAGATCTTAACTTGCTTTTATTCATAATTCCAGAATCAGGCAGCCTTCCAAACCATAACAGGCTCAAAGAACTTTGGCCAGCATTAAGATCAGGCAGTATTTATGGACAGAGAACAGAAGTGAGACACAAGGCTTAGCTCATTCTAGCTCTTGCCTTGTTTTAATCAGCTGTCTGCCTAGGATTGCCTAAAGCTCAGCAGCTCTAGGTAACTGACAGTCAGCCACCTGCTACTTGAGTGTGCTCATAAGTTAATCAACCAGTTAGCGTGGGTGACTCCATATTGGATTGGTCTGTTGGGCCCAGTACAGGAGTCTGGTTCAACTCAGTGGCCTGCTACAAACCTTAACAACAGTAACTACTGATTCAGCTGGTGGGGTCATAATTTCAATATGGAAATTAGCCTGGCATTTACTTTCCTCTGTCCCAAATAGTTACGCAGTTCTTGGGACAACACAGAACCTGGGCTGTGTTCAAAGTGTGGAGCGGGCTTGTGTTCTCTAGGTGGGAGGGTGCCGCTCATCAGCGCAGGTTATTCACCAAGCTCATCTGGGTCAGCTTCTCTTGTTGCAACCATTTTTTCTGGGTTATTCATTGAGTACTTTTTAGGCACTGTGCCAGACACCAGGGTTGTACTATGACACTGACCTGTGAGTGCTATGTTTCTAATCATATCCCTGAAACTTTTATTAGTGACTTGCCTGACTTTGGGAAGTCACTGGTGGATTCCTGTTGCCTTGTTATAAAACAAGATGCTTAAGTAATCTAATTTTAAAGCCTTTAAAATCAGAGGATGCAGGTCTGACTTGTCTTAGTCTGGTCATTATATTGGTCCCTGCCTTCAAGCACAGTGTCAGTCTTTGTATCTGTATAAAATAAATGGATGGTGCTAGAACAGTTTTCTTTTGTCATTTTTGAGGTGGGGTTTTGCTATGCAGTTCAGGCTGGGCTTGAACTCACAGTGATCCTCTTGCCCCAGCCTCCTGAGTGCTGGGATTAGAGGCATGGACCACCATGCCTGGCTGAACAGGTTTGAAAAAGTATCCAAGGAGCCAGGCATGGTGATGCACACCTGTAATTCTAGCACCTGGGAGGCTGAGGCAGAAGGATTGCTGTTAAGTTCAAGGACAGCCTGGGCTATATAGAGAAGACATTTGTCTCAAAAAAGCAAAAGCAAAACAAAACAAACAAAATGAGTACCTAAGGAATGGGAATAGATCTTTCTAGGAAAGACGACTTCTGTGTGCAAGCCGGTCTAGGAAATGTAGGCTCCTGTAGTGGGCTCAAAGTCAGTAGGTTTCGGGACTGCAGGACTTCTCAGAAACTTTCCCGTGCCACTCCAAGTGGGAGGCAGCACCTGTGCGTCTCAGACTTATCTGACCTGGATGCCTCTTCTCCCCAGAAGCATCTTTGCAACTCTCACGTCAGGCAATGTCTGTGCAATATCTCACTCTGTGTCCTCCTTGTCCTCGGATCAATTTCATCTTTTTGAGACATGGTCTCGCTATGCAGTTCAGGCTGGTCTTGAGCTCACTTTGTAGCCCAGGCTGGCCTCAAACTCACAATGATCCTCCTGTTTCAGCCTCCCGAGTGCTGGGATTACAAGCATGTGCCACCCCGCCTGGCTCCCCTCGGATCAATTTCATGTCATGGGCATCTCCTAGTTTAGGTTCTGAGGTAGCTGTGTGCGTGGGCTACAACCTCACCTTTTGAGGCTCGCAGAAGTACGAATCCCACAGACACTGCACGCCAGTAACCAGCGTGAGCACACAAGCTGCTTTGCAGGGAAGAGTCCATGCAGCAGCATGGAGGGAACTCTTCAGGGGAGAGCAGTGAGATGGGTAAATGAACACAAGGAACAAGTCTTCACTGCAGATTTCCACGACACGCCCCCGCCCCCCGCATCAGCGTTTTGATGACTAAATGTCTTTCCCATCACAGCACTGCTGCTCCCGACCAAGACTGTTAGGACTCAGAGTAACTACTGAGTGGCCCCTCACAAAAGTCTGTGTCCAACATCTGTCACGCCAAAGATCATTAATGTTCAATTGCACCCCATTGTCTTTGTGTTATTCAACTTCATTTGCTTGTCCCTGCTTCAGCTGGGGATTAATCAACTATTTATGGGAAGACGGGCCTCGGAGTCAGGGCAGTTACAATGGGGTCACAATCTGGGGCAGTGGCGGGGGAGACAAGTCACTGTGCAGGGATTCTTGATTTGTGAGGGCTTGTCGATAATCTAATTAAAATATCGGGCAATACTGTAGTGCCGACAGCCGTATTCAAAGGAGAAAGAGTTACTTGGTCTTCCTGAAATGCCCTAAGATGAATCTGTACCGAACCTGTTTGGGGCTTGTTTATTTGCCTCTTGCTTCCTCTGAAGAGCAAGAAATGAAATGAATGAAGATGATGGCTTCTCTGCACGAAGTGCACAGTCCTTGTCAACTGTGGAGGTCGCACTCGGTCACTGCCCTGAGGGCGGCTGACACGATTCAGACACTGAAGTTGTATGAGATAGTTTCATACTTTCATGAGATGAGCAAAAATACTCCATTAGGAATTATTTTTTAAAGCTTCGTGAATTACTCAGATGCTTACATTTTGTGCATCGTGATTAGTTTTATTAGATTTAAACATCAAATAACCGATTAGGTGTCATCTCCGTGTGTAATCCAGAGACATTTCATGAACGGGGCAGTGAAGTACAGAAGACAGCGAGTGAGTCCGCCGCGGCGTCTGAGCTCGCGCAATCCAAATACATAGCTGGGATAACAACGTTTTAAGTACACATTGGTATCTTTTCATGTATTACAAATTATTTCACAGAAAACAGCCAAATTACGCGCACAGTAAAATTCCGGGTCTGCAATAATATGAGAACTTGCGGATGCTCCCAATTTATTTAACAGAGAAAATTAAAATCCCAGCGTTTTAAACCTCCGCTACACCAGGCTGTCGGGCGTCTCGGCAAAGCCGCTCCCCGGCGGCGGGCCAGATGGCGCGGCGGGCGGGAGTGCCGG